AAAGGGGGGAATAGTCACAGCTGTAGAATGTCTTCAGTAGCTAACTTTGGAAGGAACGAAATGCAACTCAAAGTCGGAGCAAGGTTAGCTGGAAAACTAGGCCAACTGCTAGGAGTTCCTGCCAGTGGGACAATAAAAACCAAAAGCCACCACACCGCAGCTCAACTACCAGGCCATCCCACCAATCTCCATCGCCATCAGCATCAGCATACCGAAGGTATAAAAGGTTGGACCGGGTGCGCGCCAGCGATCGCTGGATCCAAGTCCAAATAAGAAACGCGCGTGCGCAGCCGTCGCCATCGCCAGTCGAACGTTAGCAGCCTCCGCGTCAACTTGTGCTCCGGTCTACATCTCTCTATTGCTCTCTGTGTGTGCTTGTTTGTGTGTTTGCTAGGTTCCATATCCACATTTAAGACCCCTTCGCCAACTCTGAGATCTGGGCAGTGCACTTGGATTTTGCATGTGCGGTACATTGCATTATTTTGTATTATTTATAGCAACTTGTTTTCAAAGTCATTACGTGTCGTGCACGCCGCCGCCGCCGCCGTCGTAGTCGGTGAACAAATTGTGCATTTTAAAAACAATTCAATAAGCAATAAGCCTGCGCTCCAGCTGAAAGAAGCCAGAGAAGGCGCAACAAGGCTGAGGCTGAGACACATTCAACAATTTATGCGATATCTTTTGGGCTTTTCTGGAGCTTCCCGACACATTCTCGGACTGCACCGCCTGCATACGAAACACAGCAAAAATATGCAAATGGAAAAGGTAAGCCATACCGTAATGGATCAGTTTAGATGACTCGTTCCCAAACACTACTCCCTGTCCATCTGTCTCTATGGGTTACACTTTCACTTTCGTTGTCCATCGAAGCGTCAGGTTTAAGGTTACACTTTTGTGGCTCATGGCATATGATTTGCCTTTGAACTGGTCTTAGCCATGACTCTGGTTGCGGCGTTGCGGGCTGAGTCAGACCTGGTACTGCAGGCCAGTAAAACCAAAGCGAATAAGAGAGTGAATGGGTCTAGGAACAGACACACAAACATACATACAAATGTACACAAGAGCAGATATTTATGTGCTACATTATTCTGCAGAATGAATTGTGTGTGCTTTAATGAGTAAGAGATTCCAAATGAATGAGAATTCATTCTTTCAACTAGAATTGTTCAAAGTGTTTCCACTTTGTTTCCTTCTTAAGCAAATCCCAAAAACACTTAAAGATTAGAATAAACAAATCGAATGTGTATTTTTGGATGAAAAGTGCAGTTCATTGCAGTTCAAACTTGATCTTTCAATGTCCACATGGACCACCCACCCACATAGAGCTCTCGATTTGGGCCTACAAAACTAAACAAAACCAAACACCCACGGCAATGTGATCTTCAAAGCCCCCCTCCTAATAAAACTATCACTTTTAACGGATTATTACAATGGCATGGCCTGGCTGCCTCACACACTTTGCCACTCAATGTGGCCCAATTTCGTTTAGCTGAAGTGCAGCACTCCACTCCGATCCACTCCACTCTAAACATGATCAAGCTCATGATCGCTGATCGCGAGATCATTACGATTATTGTCTGGGTGGTTCGATTCATTTCACTGCTAAGGCCAGGCCAGGCCAGGCCAGGCCAGGTGAGGCCCAGACCGCAACGAAAACAGAAAATAGAAAAGGAAAAGCGTTCAAAATTGCTCTCAGTCTGAGCGTTTCTATTTGTAAGAGCGGAAATCACGGGGCAGTGGGTGCGCGTGGGTGTAGGTTTTTGTTTACGCCAAAGGAAAGTCAAAGTGAAATGCATGGAAAGCAAATCAAATTGTCAGTAAGTCAGTCAGTCAGCAAACGAATACAAGGAGGAGGAGGCCAGGGGCCCATAAGCATGCTTCCCAATCCCAATCCCAGCCCAGCCCAGCCCAGTCTGTGGGGGTAAGTAATCCGAGATCAGCAATTTGAGAGCAGTACCAGCAGCAGCAGCAGCAGCAGTTGTTCCGTAGATCGCTTCAGTGCATATTCATGCCAGAGCACCAAAGCATTTTCTTTAACCGGACCTAGACCTAAACAAAATCTCTCTAGGGTGTGCAAAGCAAGGGAAAGCCAACAGAAGTCTGTTTGGACTGAGAGGTTCAGCGATCGTTCGTCCGGTTCGATCAGCTCCGCGTAATCCAATTAAAGGAACAATCTACATTTCAATTCAAAACTAATGAAGTGTAGTTAATTCACAACAATGGCAGACATGTGTTGAATGCTTGTTGTTGGACCATTGGACCATTGGACCATGTTTTGAATGCAGCAACTGGGGGCATTCGAAAGGCTTTGGGGGGTCGGGGAAGTAATCGAGAATGGGAACCGGGCATGGCCCAAGCCATTACTAACGAGCCATGGTTTCCTTATGGTACTCGTGCGGGGAGTCCAACTTCCGTCAAACACTTTGATTATGCGTGGTCCCAACAATTCATTGATTGATTGTCGATATGGCAATCAATTAAACAGATTATGATTTCTCGCGCTGGAGCTGGGGTTCAGAAGCATTACGAGTATATAGTGACAAATCAGGGACAAGTGTCAATGAGTGAAAAACTTGAAAATTAAACACAAACTGATTTACAGCGCACGCTGGTGCTTCTGTTGCTGGGATTAGTGCTGGTGCTGTCCCTCGATTCATCCCAGGCAGCGCGTCGTCTGCGAAAGAAGCCAAAAGTCTACAATGCCCTCATCACCACCGATGATAATCTCACATCCAGCAGGGCTTATCCTGTCATCCAGCCCACCATACATGAGCCGGGCTATGCTCCCTTTGGACCGTACAATCCCTATGGCTTCTACAGTCCCCCTTCGGTGCGGTTTGGGCAGCCAATTGTGCCCGGTTTGACGCCCAACGAGAGGGTGAGTAGAGTGAGTTTTGTTTTCAGTCCAATGAAAAGCTAAGAACTGTCTTCTGTAGCTGCCTTATCCGCTGCCCACTGGAGGACAGTATTCAGCGGGATTTGCACCCCACGAGGACCAGCAGCCTGTGGAAACTCCTGTGGAGCAGCAGCCTGCTCCTCCCTCACTTGAACCCAAAGAGATGACCAAGGAACAGACGCCGCTGCCACTCAACGAGCAGGGACTGCCGCCCGTTCTCATCCGTCTGCCATCGCAGTACACGGGACAGCCGACGCATCTCCTCCCTTATCCGTACAGCCAGTACCCGGTGATCTATGACCAGGCTGGATATGTGCGCCAGAACTATCTGCCGCCCTACGATTACTATCCCACACAGGGCTACCCAGTGCGGGAGCCCACAACAGCAGCAGACGCACCCGCACCACCGCCACCACCCTCGCCGCCCAAGGAGGAACCACAGCCACTGCCGCTGGAACTGAGCCTGGAGCCGGTGAAGCCCAGTTTCGAGGACATCAGAAACGGATCGGAGAGTAAAAACAGAGAGGTTCCCGATGTGCCGCCACCACCAATACCCTCAGGTCCGAGACGCCCGCAACCCGCTGAGCCGGACAATTGAGACGCTGCTCTGTGCGCATAAAATCCAATCCATACACGTATTTATTACCATATTTGTTAGGCATACCGATTTGATATATTGTACAATGTCGTTTAACCCGTAAGCTTAGTAAGTGTTCGTTCGCATCACAGATTACAGAATAAAATGTAAAATCACCAAAGCGGTGAATGAACTTGGTTTGGGTGGACGATGTGGACTCAAGGGAGCAGACGATGATGATGACTGCTTTCGCTTTCCACCGACCTCGGGGGAATTGTTTATCTTTGCAGGGAAGCGACTATAAATGGAGCCGACTCTGCAGACCGGGTACACAGTTTGCATTGCAAGAGTTTGGCAGAATGAAGCTTACCCTGATGCTGATTCTGTGCCTTTGCCTCTTTGGCCTGGGTAAGCAATTTCCACAGTCGCTTGGCATTTCGTTTCTTCTCACAACCTTCGCTTCGTCTAGTATTTGGGAATACCATGACCATGGTTACCAAGCCACCATTTTTGCGCAGCCGCTACAGTCTCCGCTGGCGGAAAACGACCCCAGCCGCCACAGAGGCCACCACGGGACACCCTATGGAGCTTGCCACCTCCTCGGAGCATCCAAAGATGCGGTCCTCAACGGCCACTGTGGACTATGATTACTATGGAAATGGTGAAGCAGAGAATGTGGTGCATAAGTAAACAGCCACAAAAGTCGCTCAACGGAGCTGTCAACTCAAGAAAAACTAATCTACTACAACTCTATCAAATGATATGACAAATAAAAAAGTCTCCAATTTTAATTTTAATTTTTATCAAAAGTTTCGCGGAACCAGTTCTCGAGAACTGCAATACCAGCTGGGTTTTTTGTAGAGTTTTCTGGCAATTTAAACTAGCAAACTGAGCATTCATTCAAATTACTGAGTGCAAAATAACTTGGGTCAGGTCATTCACAAACAGATTGAATAGGAACGGACCTAAATGACTTCCTTGAGGAACTCCAGACAAAACTTTGTTAAACAAAGCACGCTGTACGATGCGACAGATACGATAGAGATTGACGAGATTTGTAGGAAAACCTAATAATGAGATTTTAGGGATCAGCAAAGTATATTCAAATTCCTCTGAGCCTCTAATATATTAATTTTTCAAAAATGATTAATGACATCAGTTAATATACATGTGTTTCTACATGTTACATACATTTACATACGGAACACAAAGCTCCAGAAAGCTTCCAGAAGGGGTGATTTAAAGGAAACAATTCAAATACAAATTTGTTAAATATAAGGTCACAAAGTATACAATCCAATGAAAATGAGTATGTGTGAATAGCCAAATTGATTCTTCAATCGGATTGAATTATTGTTTCTGTGTTAAAAGTCTTTGCAAGCTAGTAATAGCAAATAGAACACCAAAATCGAGGAATATGATTTAAGACTTCGGTATGTTTTGATAATGAGAAAGTATATTTCAGTATACACAGTCGGCCGTCACGAACCAGTTTGGAGGAAAAATGTTACTACCAAAATTTGCTCAGAATGTGATTAAAAATAACTTTCAAAAAGCTGCAAATCTACTCGTCAAAGTAGAGTCGGCAGCAGCAACTGGTGGCTTTGTGGGACTCAGCAGATTATACAGTACTCAAAACCAAACCACAGCAACAACAAGCGCAACAGGGAAAACACGTAAAATGGTGGTGAGTTGGGCATATAGAGAAATATTTTAAAGCAAGTGAAATCGAATTGTTTTCTCAATAAGTTGATCAAAAGACTGTCTTTATCACGCGCTTATCGCCTTCCAATTTGACCCCCAAGGCCTAGTTTAGGCTTTAAAATGTGTGTGTATGGCTTCTGTCTTATATACTTGTTGCTTCCCGCAGGTTAAGCTCAACGAACAGGAACGTGCCGAGAAGCTGCAGCCACTGCTGGACGCTGGCTGGACATTGGTGGATGGTCGCGATGCCATTTACAAGCAGTTTGTCTTGAAGGACTTCAATCAGGCGTTCAGTTTCATGACTGGCGTGGCCCTTCTTGCCGAGAAAATAAACCATCATCCGGAGTGGTTTAATTGCTACAACAAAATCAACGTCACTCTCTCCACTCATGACGTGGGCGGCTTGAGCTCCCAGGACATTCGAATGGCCAACTACTTTGAAAAGCAGGCTGATTTGTTGAAATAATTCATATTTTTTGCATTCTCTATGGTAATCTAATAAATACTCAGCCCAATGTGGACTTGCTAAAGATCTGGTATTCGGCCTCTTCTGTGACACCCGGAGATGTCTCGTCCTTGCTGTAGCCGAGCTTCTTGTAGAACGATATGGAGTTCTCGTTATTGTTTAGCACTGTAATCATGACCTTCTCGAGCTTCCAGTGTCGGGCGCAGTCCTCCAGGGTTTGCATCATAAATCGACCCAGGCCCTTGCGTTGTGAGTTGGCCGCAACATGCATTTCGTAACTGCAAAACAAAGCCAAATTACCCACTCACGTATGCAGACGGGAATGTTTAAAGTGCTCACTCACCAATAGAGTACGCAGTCGTAGTTCTCCATGTCGAAGCGAAACATGCAATATGCCACATTCTCTTTTTTGTCGTTCTGTGCCACCAGATAGCGGGCCCAGTTCTTTTTGTGCTCCGCCGACTTTATTTTGGGCTGCCAGCCCATCTTTAACTGCTTATAGTAGGGTCCCACGTTCGCCTCTGCCAGCTTGAAAGCCCACTTTATGGTTTTCGCATCGGCATCGCTCTTTGTGCGGCAGATCAATTTGAACTCTTCCCCGGACGGGGCCGTGTACTTGTCGTATGGTAGTGTGTCGAGTGGATTCTTGGCACGTGCAGCCGCCTCTACGAACCTCTGCTTCGTTCCGATACTGAGTTCGTCCTGGTTTTCCATTATATTTTAATTAGTAAACAAATTTGCAGAAACAAATCATGCAAAAGAGTCAAGCGCGCAAACCAGAGATGGCACATCACACACTTGCAAATAATCGATTATTCTTTTCCAGACTACAGTCAAACTTAAATGCTTTTCATGACCGTCAGGTGTCTCCGCGACAATTTCATCCCCGGACCGTCAATCGCACAAAAGTACCGATACATTTTACAAAATATGTATCAATATACATTTTACATCTCTATGAACATAAGACTAGTTTTGTTTACGTTTCCATTTTAGAATATTTACTAAAATTAAGTAGACATTACCACATCATAAATCTACAAGACTGCCAACAAATTTGAAGGCAGTTCCAGTCCGCTACACAAGGTAAGCGTAGCCCTAGCAAAGCCATTTCCTAGAACTGCTGACGCTATCACTCGGTTCGGAATCTTATAGAATCAGAAGCACAACAATGTTTAAAAAGTCCAAGCCAAAGACGAAGCCACCACCAACTGCCCCCACTGTGGATGAAATGCTGGCCGACATGGAAACATTTGAGGTCCAACGGCCTCCAGTAGCCGCTAACTCGGACAATTCAGATTTGGAACATGAACTGCTGACAGAACCAGAGAAGCTACCTCTCCAGACGTGGTGGCAAGTGTTTGATGCATACGATCAAAAGGTCACGAAATTGGCTGCCACAATAGACACCTTGGAGTCACAAAAAGAGAAACTGCAGTCCTGCTGCGCGAAACTGGAGCAGAATGCAGAGGAGCTTCGTGAAGGCATACAGAAGCAGCAATCGTTGATTAAGAAAGCTGTTAATTAATATGTAAGGTTTATTAAAGAAATGTAAGTTCCCTAGATAGATATTTTACTTGCAATTAATAATGTGGCCGATACCCGCGATTCTATCGCTACTATCGATAGCTACCTGAAACCGTTTAATACGTACCTTGGTTCGTTTTTCAATGGGGTGGTGGGCGACACACAAAAAAAAGTTGCTTCTGGAGAACAAAACGAATTAAAATGCTCGAGTGGATATAAAAAGTATGTGCCATGCCATAAATCAAGGCTTACATAAATAATAATCCCATATATTGCACGGGAAATTCGTTTGTTTCGGGCCTGGATGAATAAGCAGAAGAACAGGTTTTTGGGCCGTGGTAACGAAGCGAAAAAAAAACTTGTGACTGGCTTATAACCATTTACGCCAGCCAGTGGCAGCGCGTTAATGGGAAATACAGCTAAAAGTGGAGGTCGATTGTTTTGTGTGTGTTTGCGCGTGTATGTTTCTTTTAAATATTTGATATTCGCAAGTTGGCCAAATCCAATTAACCAATCCCAAAACGAAAAAGTGCAACAATTTGTGGCTAATTGAATTTCGTACATCTTATTTTGGTTCAAGCCACCAACAAAACAGCAGCGAGTAAGAAGCAGCGCATCAGCGTTTTTTGGGCCAGAATACACACACATATGTATATGAAGACAACAACACACTCAAACCCTTTTGCACGCACAGAAGAAATAAAGAATAATTATCCAATTAAACGTTTGTCAATGTGCAAAGGAATGCATTTAATTCCATCGACTAAAAGGAAATGTGCGCTAAACGCTGGATAGCCACAAACGGGAAACTAACAGTAATTTTCACGGGCACACACGCACACTTATAAACGACTCTTTATACGATTCATTCATATGCGTGTGTGCCTGCGTATGTGAAGTGCTAATGAGATGCTGTGGCGCTGCTCCTCTCTCCCTCTCACTGCTCTCCTGCTGTTTGTGGCTTTTGCCTTTTATGCAAAGAAACGCAAAAATTGTTGCTGAACAATAAGATTTTGCGTATATTTTATTGTTGCTGGAAAAGGTGAAAGCCACTTTTTGCATCTCTCCATATGATCTGCCTGTATGGTGTGAATGATCCGGAGTCCGGACGTATACGTAATGCAGTTTCTTTGTGCCAGAGAGACAGGCAGGGCAACCGTTAAGGCAATCAACTCGATTATAACCATTCTCATTCTTCTTCAACAGCTTCTCGCGTGGAAATGTCACAGATTGGTACGCGGATTGCGGCCTGAGCAATTTCCCTGCCACTCTTTCTCCTCTGGCACACTCTCCTATTGCAACAGAGAGAAACGGCGACGGCTGCAATAATGTGATGCCTGGGGGTCAGACACAGAGGTTAATCCAAGAAAACGCAACCTAGAACTAGTTAGGTTTCCACTAACACACACCACAAATACACTGCCAGAGACACACACACATACACTATCGCCCAGACACAGATACACAATCCAGCCAGATGAGCTGGCTGCTGGGGCTCCTGGCGCTTTTGTGGGTGCCCAGTGGTCTTCTGGCCGTTCCAACGCCACTCAAGCTGCCAGGTAAGTGTCTCAATACTTTCCCTCCCTCCCCCACCCACAAGGAAACGTTGAGTCAATGATTTTCGATCTTTCATTAGGCTACACCCACAAACTGACGCCGTACATCAAGCACTGGGAGGCGGCGAACTTCGATCGCAGTGTGCTGCAGGCAGCCCAGCTCAGGCACTTGGAGCAGGCGCGCTTCCGTCAAAAGCGTCAAGTGGAGCCCACACAGTCATCGACGTCGTCGTCATCGTCCTCGAGTGGATTAGCGCACACAATACGATTGAATTTCTCGGCCCATGACAGGTGAGTGTGCGTGGGTGGGATTGGACTTTGTTGCAGTTTGAACTCAATTCAAATCTGAGCAAGCTCCGATTACACTTAATCACTGACCCTCTCTTTCCTTACGCAGAGATTTTCGATTGGTGCTGCGTCAACAGCCGCATTCGGTGTTCGCCCACGATGTGGAAATCGAGAACACACTGGGACCCATCGACTACGATGTCTCACGCATTTACACTGGCAGCTTGGAGGACGATGAGGCTGCCCATGTGCAGGCCATTCTAACCAGTGATAATCTGCTGGATGGCACGATTGAAACTCAAGCGGAGCACTATTACATCGAGCCAGCGCAGCGCTACTCCCAGCAATTAGCCGAGAGTGGCGTCCACAGCATAGTATATAAGTTAAGTGATGTAAATATGCAGAAGGAGCACCTCGGAGGCGGTCTGAGCTCACAGGTGCCAACGAAGACGCATTGCGCCAGCGAAAAGTTGCGGAAAAAACGTTGGCTGCCGGAGGAGGTAAGCGGTTGCCATTCAAGTGCTATTGAATCGCATGTAAATAATATAAACAATGCAATTTTTTTTGTAGGTGGCTGATAGTCCTACGCCCACATACAATCGTAACCCGCCTTTGCCATTAGATCTGGAGGTGCCCTACAATGATGATTTTCGTGTTCTGGCCTCCGAAGAGGATCGGAGCGATGAGAGGCCAACCAGAAGATATCCAACAACCTCGACAACGAGGAATACTGGCCGCAGCACGGAGAGCTTTCTGGCCACGCTGACGAAACCCACGTCCAACCGTAATATACTTGTAAATAACTATAATCCCTCCAATGTCGGCGAAGGCAGTCGCAGCTACAACAGCAATAATGGAAATGCCAATAATAATAGCAACAACAATAACAACAACAACAGCAACAACAATGTGCGGAAATTGTATACGAAACACAAGAACATCATTGTGAGCACATACAATCGTCCCATCGAACCAGAGTTTGGCACGCCCTACGAGGAGCCAAGCAACAACAGCAACAGCAACGGAAATCTGCCAAGTAATTTCTTCAATGCCAACTGGACAACGCTCTTCCTGGGTAACAATAACAATGGAAACAGTAACGGCAACGCCAACGATCGGCCCAGCCACAAGACACACGTTGAGATCATCACAAAAAATGGGGCCACCAAAAAACCAAACATCATTGTGAATAACTACAATCCGGAGATTATATTCGCACCCAATCCACAGAATCCGAGCTTTAACAGCATGCTGATGACGAATCTGCTGAGCGGTCGGGGCGACGATATACACAGTTCGCCAAGGTTGCTGTACGATCGCAAGACCACGTGCATGCTGTATCTGCAGGCAGATCACACATTTTTTCAGAAAATGGGCTCCGACGAGGCCTCTATTGAGGCCATCACACGTCATGTGCAGCGTGCCAATTCGATCTATCGGAATACAGACTTTAATAACGATGGCAAGCCGGACAACATCACGTTCATGATTAAGCGTATCAAGGTGCACAATATGAATGCCATGAAGGATCCAACTTACCGTTTCCCCGGCAACTATGGCGTTGAAAAGTTTTTGGAACTGTTTTCGGGTAAAAATAATGGCATTACATTTTATATTTTTTAATTTAATCCATAACCCTTTCCGCAGAGGAAGACTATGATGCCTTTTGCTTGGCCTACATGTTTACATATCGCGACTTTGAGATGGGCACCTTAGGACTGGCTTGGACAGGAGATCTCAAGAATGCTGGTGGCGTGTGCGAGAAGAATGGACACTATCGGGGCTCCCTGAAGTCCCTCAACACAGGCATTGTGACTCTCTTGAACTATGGCAAGCATGTGCCGCCCGCCGTCTCACATGTGACGTTAGCTCACGAAATTGGCCACAACTTTGGCTCCCCCGTAAGATCGAACACTCATTTCATAGTCTCACAATCGATCTACAAGTTTTGTGTTTTTCCAGCACGATCCGGAACAATGTACGCCGGGTGGGGAGGATGGCAACTTCATTATGTTTGCCCGTGCCACCTCCGGAGACAAGAAGAACAACAACAAGTTCAGCACCTGCTCGTTGAAGTCCATCGAGCCCGTGCTGAATGCCAAGGCGCGTTCCATGAAGGGCTGCTTCACAGAGCCACAGTCTTCGATTTGTGGCAATGGCGTCGTCGAGCCGGGAGAGCAGTGCGACTGCGGCTGGGAGGAGGACTGCAAGGACTCTTGCTGCTTCCCCATGTCACGCCAGCCACGCATAGACGAGACGCCCTGTACTCTGACGCCGCATGCCCGCTGCAGTCCCTCCCAGGGCCCCTGCTGCACCACCGACTGCAAGCTGAAGTTTGGCGACAAGTGTCGAGACGACAATGGCTGTCGGGATCCCTCGTTCTGCGACGGACGTGTACCCCAGTGTCCACCGTCGGTGAACAAGCCCAACAAGACGATCTGTAACAAGGAATTTGTTTGCTATATGGGCGACTGCACTGGCAGTATTTGCTTGGCCTATGGACTGGAGTCATGTCAGTGCATACCGGGACCTCAGGACGATCGAATAAAGTCGTGCGAGCTGTGCTGCAAGCTGCCTGGAGAAGACAACCCGTGCAGGAGTTCCTTCGAGTGGAATGAGGCTCCATTCGATGTCCCGGATATGTACTCGAAGCCAGGCACACCATGCAATGATTATAATGGGTTCGATTAGACATTCTCTCATCCCAAATTTTGCTAAGATTGCTAAATATTCTCTCCTGCTACTAGGTACTGCGATGTGTTTCAAAAATGCCGCGAAGTGGATCCCTCTGGACCTCTGGCCACTCTGCGTAAACTGCTGCTCTCCGAGGAGAGTATTGCCACATTCAAGAAGTGGATGGAGCACAACTGGTATACGGTGGCCCTGTCTGCAATTGGCGTAATTTTGCTTCTGGTATGTGAAACTATTTGGGGGTTGCACTGTAAATTGATTGAGCATTTAATTTGACTTGAGTTTGTTCTTTGGCTTTGCACAAGCTAATGCGCCTGGTCACGCATATGCTAAGGGATCAGCATGAGGCCAAAGGGCTTGCCCTGGCTCAGTCTCAGACTGTGGGTGAGCAGCCGGCATCCGACGATCGATTTCCTCTAGAATCTCTTGAAGAACATCCTCATTTAGCAGTAATCGTGTGAGGCTGTTTTAGGGCAGAAATCTTGGCTAGCAGTCATTATTTGAATGAGCATTGAAACCATTTCCAATTCCCATTTTATCCCAATTGGTTTTAACTAATCTAATGCTCGCTCTCTGTGGTTCTCTTCTGCAGATACTGAGCACAAAGCTGCTGGCGAAACGATCGAATCTGAAGCTTAAGTCCGTTACCATAATACACAGCGCCACCACGGAGACCGTGCGTCTGCCGGAGAACAACAATGGGGTGATAGTACACACCGCTGTGCGGACGAAGGTGCCCTTCAAGAAGAAGGTGCGTGGCGAGCGCAGCAAGAAGTCAGGAACGGGTGCGGTAGCAGGAGCTGCTGCTGCAGCTGCTTCCGCCACAGTGGGAGGATCCCGTGGAGCAGGAAAAACAAGTTTCAATGCGGAGCCAAAGAAGACACAACGATCCCATGGGATTGGCAAGAAGAAATCGTTGGAAGATGAACCCAAAAAGAGCAACAAGAAATTGGGCAAGCATATGAAGGAAATCATCGATTACTCGCATCGTAACAACAACGGCGATGATGCCTCCAATCTGTCCACAACCAACAATCACACTAACACATTCGGCAAAGTGCAGAAGTGGCTGCTGGAATCGCCAATTGTGGCCCAACCGCTGTCGCACATTGAGCACAGCTCCAAGGTACGCAAGGTGATGAGCAAGTCGCAGTCCACCCCGGAGAGGCTGGTACAGAAGCCCCCACAGAAGACCAAATCGATGGGAAATCTGTCCAACGAGAAGGTGAAACTTCAAGTGGTGTACAAGCCGCCGTTCAAGTTCTCCCTGCGTCTGTCCAAGAAGCCGAAAGTGAAGACGCATGTGGTCGCGGGTCGGCCCAAGCGAGGACAGAAGAGCAGTACGCGTGCCGCTGGTCAAGCTGCCTCGAAGGACATCACGGCGCGCACCAAGCGAAGCGCACTGCTTCTCTGCAATGAGGCAGAGGATGACAACCAAATTCTGACGCTCAACGAGCCCAACTACGAGACGTTAAAGCCTCCAGTCGCGTCCCGTGCCACAGAGCACTGTTACGAGAATGTGGATCTGCAGGCCGAGGCGTCCACATCAAAGTCGAGCAGCTGTAAAGTTGCGCCAAGCTCGAATAGAGCCAGTTTGGAGGCGCCAGTGCCAGTGTCAGCACCTGCCGCAGTTCCTGTACAGCGCAGCTCGTACCGCCGCTCCAACTCGCTGTCCACCCACAATCCCTTCGCCGTAGCTCCGCGGCGTAGCAGCAGCAAAGTGAAAGCCGATGCCCAGGCCGCTGGCGGCTCTGTGAATCTTACGCGCAACTTTGGCAGCACTCAGAACCTTATCAATCTTAGCCAGAACCTGGCCAAGACCAAGAAGCGGAGCAGCCTCAACCTGAAGGCCAGTGGGCCCAAGAACGGCAAAGATCCACCCGGTACCACTGCCACGAACCAGCGACGCTCCTCTTCCAATGCGAACCTGCGCAGGGACAGCAGTGCCTCTTCGAAGGCAGCGCCAGTGCCGCCTACTCGCAACTCGCGCAACAGCTTCAGCAACATTCCGCGAGCCAGCCTAGGGGGCGGTGGGCCCAACCCCACGACTACCGCAGGTCCGCCCAGCTTCTCGCGTCAATCTTCCAGCAGCACCACAACGACAAGCTCGTCGATTGCTGCGGGAGTAGCGTTACCCCAGCCACTGCAGCAATCCGCCTCAACCAGCGCCATGCAACGACAACCGCCTGCCCAGCCGATGCGACGGAGTCTTCACAATTTCCGGACGCGCTCAACGGCACCTGCGTCAGTGGCTGCACTCAAACCAGCTACAGGAGGAGCGGCGGGTGCGACGACCACCACCACCAGCACAGACAACAACCAGCTGCCGTCGGACTTGGAGGTTGTCGTGTCTGACGTTGAGAATCTGGTTAGCTAAGAGCAGCAGCAGCTACTCAGCGGTTGCTTCTTGTGTTTCCAACCAACCAACAAAACAACCAACCAACCAACCAAGTGAAAGTGATAAGTCTTAATGTTAGTTATACAAATTGTCGCATAGGTTTACATGCATTCGTACATAAATATTCGAGTATATAATATATATTTGTACTTGTATTTATGTACATGCAAAGATATATGTATGTATATGTACTTTACACTGCCTTAAACTTGCCGTTTCTGCTGAATATGTGAATACCACGCCCACGCCCACTCACACACACACACGTCCTAAAAACAAACCCACACAAAAGCTCTCGAACATACATATACCCCCGACCAAGGCTAGCCTCCACCAAAGTGATTCCTCCACCACCTCCACAGAAAATCAGCATCTCCAATCGCTCTGCCGCTCACACACACCCACCCACCCACGCACGCATCCATTTAAAGCCACCACTGTCCAAACCGCCAGACGCACTCACCGCACGTTGTACCTTCTACTGTTTACCACTTATTGTATCGTATTCCGTAAACTGAAACTGAACTTTGCCTACGTACATACATACATACATATCTCGTATGTGTGGCACCTGTTCGATGGAGATTCCTCCCACTTGCCGTGATATTCCTGTGAATACAGAAAGATCACTAACTAGAGGAGAGTCTTTTAAGCTAGGTGAAGGGATTATGTTTGAGTATCGCTCTCGTTATGTTAACTGCCAAATCTGGGCGTCTGTTTAAAACTCATTTTTTAAATAGTATTACTCCTAATGGGAATATATTATGTGAACTGCATACCTATAGTTTTGCCTAATCTTTAACTTTCGAACAACGATCGACCACCTCATCTAAACTTCGACAAACAACACACACTTACACACACACACAGAACAATACAAGGTGCTATTTTAGTAATAAAGTAAACTTAAATGATTAACCAAGAACTTTTCAACTCATCCTTTGCATATTTTTCAAGATCAAAACTAAGATAAGGAACAATTAGGACAGACAGACAGACAGAGAGAGAGAAAGAGAGAGAGTGAGTGTCAAGCCCAAGTAGATTATAGTGAGTGTGTAGAAGGGGGAGAGCAGATTAGTTATACGGCAAAAGTAGATCAAATGGATAACCAACGACAACTGTCAATAAAAATCAAAAGCAATATGCATCGAAGTTAGTTTTTACAAGTAGCACTTGCAGTAAATCGACATATGTAGAATATTAGCCAGCCACGCCACTCCCCCAGCAACATCCATCCCGACAAATGCACTTGCACATAATTATGTACATAAATAAACTGTCAGCACGCCTCAAACCCATAGAGAGAGATAATACATACCATTGCCACTATCGCCTTCGCCAAATCAGTAGCAGTTGTTGTGTAAATACATACTCTATAAAGACATAAATAGGATATCAAATGGAAATAGTTTTTATATGCAATAACAAGTTAGTGCAATGAAAAGAGCAAAACAATAATGAGAACACCTAACGATATTCATAAACATACCTACCATACACACCATAGACACACACACACCTGTAGGTATACTTTATAGTCACATTCCGAAAGAAATCACAAAAGCGGCTTTCGAATTAAAACGAAAAAGAAACAAACAAAAATCTCACTTCATACAAAACACAACTTAACAAAGATACAATAACGATTTGTAGTCTAAGACAATGATTGATATTTGTAGCTATATGAATGTGTAGGAAATCGGCGTATCAAATTGCATCTAGACTAGATATAGACCATATCTATATACATACATAAATATCCGTACACAAGGGGCGTGCAATACCATTGCAACTTTACGAGCATTTGGGTATATTTTTGTGGAATATACAAACCATTATTAGATAAAAACACATAAGCTCCAGCTCAAGAAACCCGAACTACAGAAGGACAGACCGAGACAGTGACAGACCAGACCCGATAGTTAACGCGAGTAGGCCAGTGAGGAAACGGAAACGGATGCAGAATCCAGGAGCAAGAAGCTAACGAAATAGTATGTACGCGACAATCGCTTTCAAATGCTTATAAACATTTAAACAAAAATAACGAAACCATTGGAGAATCGAATTGAACTTTATTTTTAATTTATCTTCGACAAAACGACGGTATCTTGACTATTTCAATATGGAACTATACAAAGCAAAGTCAACTAAAACTAAAGTAAAGGCATGAAAAACGTTTTAAAATTACAAAAAAAAAACATACAAACATACTGTATATAACATTAAATGCAAATGATTTTAATGTCTAAGCGGGAGAGATAAATCGGATCGGAGCCAGTGGGGACGGACCGACCGAGAGAGAGAGAGAGAGTATTTTGATGCGTGACAAAAAGACTATTTAGCGCGAAATGAACAATTTTTGTGTATTGTACATAAGAAATCGATTGATTTTAATCTATATATATACCAATGTGTGTATTTATATATAAATATAACTGTAAAACTGCAAACGATTTTTAAATCTGTATGTGTATTGTGTACCTCAATTGTAATTAATTTTTTGTATACCTTTCACAAGATGGATTAAGGCTATTTTTATAATTTAGCTAAATGAATTTGCATATAAGCACGCAACCCACAAAAAGTCCCTCCCATCACATCGTCTCACCCAGCTAGCCGCTAGTTAATGGCCAGTTTTTCCATGTTTTCACAGACCGCATTAGCATCAGCATTCGCATCTAATCCCATTCAAGAACAAACATATTGTATTTTTATGTCAATTAAGTGAGTCTTCAAGAATCGAGTTCGAGCAAAACAAAACAAAAGAAATGAAAAACAAAAACCGAAGAGCAAAGAAGTGAATATTAGCATTTTACGATTAATCATTTTAAACCAATCGAAAACAATAATTAAATTAACGTATGTATTATTACCGAAAAAAGCATATGTGTGACATTTAAGTTGTACTTTATTTAACGATTACTACAATACTTTATTTATTAATCTTAGGCAATAGCACGTGCAAACAAAAACACCATTAATTTTTAACCCTCACAACACACACATGTGTATATGCGATACTTTATAATTTCATCATTTTAAGTGAAATTCAATTAACAATAAAAACGAAACTAATACTTATACAAAACGTTTTCACATTCATTTTGTCACAATCTAGCTCGTCTTCTTGTCTGCCTTCTCCAGTTTCAATGCGCGCTTCGCCATTACCCAGAAGAACAGAGTGGGGCACAGATGGCGGAGGTAATAGGCGATCTTGGCCTGAATATCGCTAACGATAATGTCCGGCTCGTTGCGCAGAATGGACTTCAAAATGCGTTCAGCCAACTTATCAGGCGACATGCCCTTAGCTGTAGAGTCATCCATTTCTGAAAAGCGAACATTGAATATTGATTACTTGTTGCACACGAACATTTATTTTGTTGACTTACTGCCATAGCTTTTACCCGATCCTGTAAGAGCATTCAATGAGAGCTGAGTGCGTACGTAGCCAGGACTGACGGTTGAGACGTTTATATTCTTGCTCGCCACCTCGGCACGCAGGGAGTCGGCAAAAGCCTGCATGGCATGCTTGGACGCGGAGTAAGCAGCTCTCTGGGGTATGGCAAACTTTCCCTGAACCGAGCTAATGAAACAGATGTGACCACTCTTGCGTTTGATCATGGATGGGAGGAGAGCTGGAAAGTAGAGAGATCGAATTTTTGTTGGGTTTGTTAGGCATTGTAGAAGCGCGCTCACCCTTAGTTAAAGCCACGCTACCAAAATAGTTGACCACCATTATCTTGAGATCCACATCCACTGCCGTAGAGGCCACATCGGACCGCACACTAATGCCGCCGTTGTTGATCAGAATATCCACTTGGTTGTACACGCCCAGGACCCGCGTTACAAAGTCCGGTATCGTGTTGAGCTCCGCTAGATCCAGGCCAAGCACAGTCGGTGGGTATGCAGGTTCCTATATGCGGAATTGTAATGCATTGCCTTAAATAATGAGAGCTCTACACATTACCAAGTCCAGTGCCATGAGATCTTTTTTAACGCGCTCCAACTCCAAGGTACGCCGTGCTGCCAAAATCACTTTGCAGCCTGCACTGTAGAAAACGTGAGCCAGGGCCTCTCCCACGCCCGAGCTAGCGCCTGTGATAAGCACTACCTGTAAGGATTTTACATAAGGTAAGGAATCTCAAGAAGTTATAAAAATTAGTCATTACCTTGCCCGGCAACTGATTACGGAATTTCTGGGCACGGAATCGCTGCCATATATTGAAGAGTGCCAGAGGCAGAGCCACGGGCATTAGAATGGTACCCAGCACCCAGTAGAGCACATTCCAGTCAGTGCTCGGTGCACATTTTTCCAATTCTTCCACTTTCATTTTGGTACTTTGAACTTTTCGCAATTTTGTTTACAACAAATACACAAATATTTGCGATTATTAGTGAATTAGAGCTGGGAGAAAATCGATTGTTTTGTTTTATTGTAAACTTCGATTCTTGCTTTGGAAATCGATGTTGTTTTGCGACCAAGTGAAAATTTAAATGGAAATTCCGCTAACGAAAGGGTACAGCCATAGTACAGCGGACATGGCCGATGCTTCAAATGGAAATCGTTGGACAATGTAAAAATATTAACTTTGCTCCGACAAATCATGATTCCCAATAGCAGCCAGCACTCTGCGATAATCGAACTTTTCCCACCTCTACTGTGAATGCCAACAACTGTTGCGTTAGCAAAGGGAATGGCAGAAACGAACAGCTGATTGTTGTTACGCTACAGCAGCCGCTTTTGGGAACGCAAATGGGAATATGTACAATTTGCTAAGACAAGGACAGCGCTTGACCTGCTGGATGCCGGCTGCCCAGCAGATGCACACCACAGCCGTGCAGCGAACCTTTTGGGAGCGCGAAAAGAAATCCGGCTACAAGACGAAACTACCGGAGCCGTCCAAGAAACAGCTCATAATGGATGGTCTGCGTGACCTAAAGGAGGAGATAAAGCTGTGGCGGAAGGAAGTGACGGAGCAGCTGGAAAGCGATCCTATACTGGTGTTTCGTCCGGGCGAGACGGATGTGGTGTTCGACTTCAAAGCTCCAGATGTGCTGGACAAGTGGACGGTTACCACGGATGCGGATCACGGCGAGGGCAAGAGCACAGCAGCCCTGGAGCTGAGTGCAGCAGGAGCGGGCCTCTTTCATGGCGAAGTCAACTCTAACCACACCAAGGATGGCATCATAAAGCGGACAGGCTATGCGAATATACGTACAAAGCGAGTGCGGGTTAGTAAGCAATCTCCTGTGAAATTCCGTTTGCCTTGTAATTGTCTAATATTTTCCCTTCAGAAATCCTTCAAGCGGGAGTCCACCTACGACTGGACGCAGTACAACATGCTGATCATGAAAGTGCGCGGCGATGGTCGCAGCTATCTGATCAACTTGCACACCGAAGGCTACTTTGATCTCATGTGGAATGACATCTATCACTATGTGCTGTACACCCGCGGCGGTCCCCATTGGCAGATCGCCAAGATACCCTTCTCCAAGTTCTTCTTATCCTCGAAGGGGCGTGTTCAGGATCGCCAGGGGGCCATACCACTGAATAGGGTAACCCATTTCGGCTTCTCTGTGGCAGCCAAAAAGGGTATGGATGGTCCATTTGGTCTGGAAATAGACTACGTTGGCCTGGAGTACGATCCCAGTCATCGGGAAGAGTTTGCCTATGAGATGTACCAGACGCCCAAGTATATTGTGGCTACGTAATGCCCTAATGTTATTTATTTGTAGAGAAATTAATTAAACGGCCGTTTTATGTTTAGCACTCTCTGGCTCTCTTCAGTACTCTCTCGCTCTCTCTGTCTCTCTTGGTGCGTGTCTCTTTTCCATCAGCTGTTCAAATGTTTACTATTTAGTCGGGGCGCATTCAGGGTCATTTTGTTTGCAATTTCTATATTTCTTGGGTGTTTTGAAAGGCATTCCCGCCCCTTCGTCATTACAAGACGTCCCCCCAAGCGCTCTAGGTACTCGTCGAGCGCTGTAGCTGTTCGTTCGCCGCGTTTCACGTCAATTCAGTCTGCTCCGAAACTTTGGCCGATAAAAGTGGCGGAAAAGCTTCCGCTTCCAGTTTTTTAGTAGTGATAGGCCGGTGCTCTATTATCAAACAGCAAACATACGATAAAATCATGGTAAGTGCTGATGGGTGTATCATTTCTGGCTGCATTGCGTGGAATTTTGCCAGCAAGACAGCCACAAAACGACTCGAAGAGGCAGCAACGTGACCATGTGGCAGTTCAGTCACACTGGCACAGCGGTTCGACCTTGAGTGTACGTTTTCTTTTGCTTTTAATCCTGGCAAAAAAACAATAACAAACTAAAATCAATAATGGCCATAAAACCAAGCCATTCTCTCCGATAGTCGGCTCTTACACATTTTACCGGTTTCGTTTACGGAGAAGACTAGAAAATTTATGTGTGTCCAAACCAGTTGCTCTGGCCACGAAAGTGAGGTCTAGGCGAAACGAAACTAAACCAGTTCTTGCTACCTGATTCCTGTTATCGGTGCTTTTGGGTCTCCACCTTTACCTGTTGATTGTCTTTTGGCTCAGTTGTACCTCCAACAGCGTCACTTGCTGACGTGTTTAGTAGTCTGAAAATGGTGCAACACCCGGTAGAGAATACTATATACAGATTCCCCATATGGAGCCCTAGTAACTAATCGCCCTTATCTGCTCATCAATTACAGCAAGAGACGTATCTGTACGATCCCAGCTTACTGCTGAAGCTCGACTTTCATCGCACTCCGGCCACGTTCAAGCCATTCATATCAGCAACCAATCCCGGCGAGCCATGGATGAAGGTTCGCCCCCTCAAGGACACCGACTATGATCGTGGCTTCCTGCAGCTGCTCTCCCAACTGACACACGTGGGGAATGTCAATCGCACACAGTTTTTAAGTTGGTAGATCCACACGCACACGATTCAATTTCATTTTACCTGTCGCTATTTTTGCAGCCCGCTTCTCGCAGATGAAGGCCAGCGGGGACTACTTTGTCACGGTTATAGAGGACACACGCAAAAATGAGATTATTGGAGCTGCCTCTTTGGTGATTGAGCGCAAGTTCATCCACAATTGCTCAGTGGTACGTTAAGAGAATCCTTCTGTTTAAGAACTATTCCTTAATATTCTTCATAAACTTCCAGCGTGGGCGACTGGAGGATGTGGTGGTCAATGATACATATCGTGGGAAGCAACTGGGCAAGCTGTAAGCACATCCCTGCAACAGTTCTTGGAATGTGGCTTATGTTTGTGCATTTTCTATCTGCAGCATTGTGGTCACCGTCTCGCTGCTGGCCGAAGAACTTGGCTGCTACAAAATGTCGCTGGACTGCAAGGATAAGCTGATCAAGTTCTACGAATCTCTGGGCTATGTGCTCCTACCCGGCAACTCCAATTCGATGACCATACGCTATGATGAGGGCACGACGCTGAAGCGCAATACCACCTCCGCTATGGCTGGCTCCAGCTCTGCTGCAGGGGGCGACTCTTGCCAAACTGTGAGCCTCGAATTTGCCTCTTGACAATTAGCCGCCAACGCTGCTCCAAAATCCAAGCTTTGAATTGATCCCTCAATCTCAAGACTGCAACTGCGCGAGGCGCAATGTAAAGCAAACGAAAATTGGAACCAACAAAAAAAAAGAAAACTTTCGCATACAATTTCCAAATAATCATTGCGCTAAGGGCACGATGGATTTTCTGGACAGTGTTGGCTGGCGGTGGTGTCCTTGTGGTGGGTAGACACTCTCTCGGGGGAATAAATCCCCATAAGGACATGCAATAAGTTATTTAGATATAAAGAGGAATCTGGCAACAAATGTATTGCTCCCTTTTTTGTTTTTAATTCTTACAGAACTCTCAATTTTATAACTTTTTCTCTCCTTTCTGCTACTGAATGTGCGGCGGGGCGCTCTCAACTCACAACTTGAAAGGTAGTCGTTATATTACCCTTTAAGAGCACCTTCATAAAGTAGCATTAACATTGATATACATTGAGACATAAATATACCTAAAAACTAATCAACAAACTGCTAGTTATTCCGGCAAGGAGACCCCATTCAGTTCAAATGCGGTTGGCAGGAAGCTGAGCCAAACTACTCAGCTTCTTCCGCATCTCATGAATACGCGCACAAGTGGCCGCACTTGGGGCACTTTGAGTGCTTGGCAAAGTACTTCTGCAGATGCTCAATGTGTCCGCCGTGCGAGCAGCCCTGGCACCAGGCGTACACTCCGCGCACAATCAAACCACATACACAGCACTTGGCCGACTGCATGGACTTGCATTTGTCGCAGTACCAGCCCACTTTGTTGCTCAGCTGACGGCCACAGTCGCCGCAGTTTGTGTGCATTGCTGTTGACTGCTGATTGAGTTGCTGCACGGAACGCAGCCAGGATCGGTTGATCACCTCGCAGGCCTCGTTCCACAGCTCGTAGCGATGCAGCTGATCCACATAGGTGTGAAACCAATGCTCCTAATGGAACAGAAAGCCATGAAAATACAAATTGACTATTACTAAGGGGACGGTCTACTTACAACCAGAGTGTCTTCCAGCGGCAACAGCTTGCGTGCCTCACCAAGAGAAATTATCACAGTCAAAGCAGTTTGCACATCGCCCACGTCATTTAGCAGCATAAGAGCATCGGCCACAAATTTGTGTGGCTCCCACATCGGAATGGGCGGTACATGGCTGACCTTCAAAACTGTCGGTACATGCGGCGGCTGAAAGAAACATAATAACTATTATTTACCATTCGATAAAACAAAATGATGCCTTCTGCTTACAGGAGACTTTTCATGGTCAGATGCCTTGATCTCCAGTTGTGGCCGCGCTGCCTGCACATCGTGATGTAGAGCAGGAAATGCCAGCGCCTTGGCAGCATCTGTGGGTCCCACATAAATGAAACCATTGCGCAACAGCTCAAAGTTATCAAAGTTTATCTCGCTGATGATTTGCGTCTCGGAGAGTATCACTGAACTGGTCGGCGGATGCTCCACTCCACTGCCACCCAGTGGATCATCATCCTCGTTGGCAGCATCAATTTCATGTGTCGCCTCCTGGGCATTGCCATTCAAGTCCTGACTCAGGTCACTGCGTTGCTGTGGCCAATCGCTGGGCACTTGAGTGGCACGCCGCTGGTTGATGGGATTCTTTTGATTCGAGAACGAAGAGCGATGCTCAAAAGGCGGCTCAAAGTGATTGCTGCCATAGAAGAGCTTGAGAAAGTTCCACAAAGTGGTAGCCTGAAAATTATGACAATTTATAATAGTAATCCAATAATCCTATCTGATTAGCTTACGTTGTGTCTACCGTATTTCTTGGACACCTCCGAATTGTGCTCGCACAACTCGGCCAGTTTCTTGCCGCTCATAATCAGCTCCCGGGCGCATCCGATAAAGCATTCATGCTCCTGGCGAGGTTTCGAATCCGATTCATTTAGGGGAAAGCCTGAAAACTGTTTTGAAGATTTCGTTGAAATTTGTAGTGTTATGTTTAGCAAATTATCTTTCAGCTTACTGCATCTTTAACCATGAATTTATACATCCTGGAATGGTCCAAGTGGAACTGAATGCTACCAGCAACAATGGACTTTCGGCGACTTCTAAATTTCAATTATTTACAAAAAAATATTGAAATTAATAGTTCAGACATACATGAAGCTAGAACTGGTTTTCGTATTGGAAGCGCCGCTCGTCTTGGGTGCGTATTCCTTGATTTTATTGGCAAACGATATGTCTCCGTATCGGCCCAGACTGGCTCCCTGGGCATTGGCCTTCAACGCCGGCCGTGTGGCATCCTCGAAGGCGTGCTTGTGCAGAGTGGAGTCCTTGCTGGTGGAAAGCAGGCAATGGGAATCGTTGCCCAGCCACGCAATGCCCGTCGTCACATTTGTATGCTCATTGAAGGAGGCGAATGGTATATAGGGCCGACGTATGTCCCAGACATGAATGCTGTAGTCCACCACCAAAGCGCAGCTAGCGATGTGATATCTGTTGAACAATAACAAGGATAGTCAGTAATAATGATTATGAGCCCAAATCTATGTGTACGCACGTTCGTTCTGGTCGCCACTTGACTCGCCCCACCACAGCTATCGTATGTATTGTGTACTCCAGGCCTGGCCTGCCATCCATGTCCCACACCTTAATCTGCTTGTCGCGACTGCCGGTGGCCAGCCAGTTGCGCGTGGGATGCCAGTCACAGGTGTAGACGGGTCCATAATGCGCCGTGAACTGCACCATGCACTTGTCCCACTTGCGCATATCCCAGAGCTGGACGGTGCCGTTCTCCGAAACGGCTGAGAATATATTTTGTGCATGTGGACTGAATTTGACATCGCGCACGGACTCCGAGTTGCTGAAGTATGTGTTCACGGACTTGTCCGATCGTATGTCAAAGCACTTGATGGTGCCATCCTGGGAGCCAGAGATCAATATGTTGGGTTCGCTGCTGTGGAACGTCACGGTGTGGGCTGTGCGCTCGTGCTCGTTGTAGACAAGCAGCTGCTTCTGGCGTCCGCACTTGGAGTGGTCCCAAACGGACACGACGCCATTGGTGGCAGCTGTGGCCAACAGATTGCAGTCCATGGTGCTCCAGGCAACGTCATTGGACGAGTAGCTGAGATTTTGGTTCTTCCCGCCACGCATATTGCAAACTTCCCTAAATCCATAGTCGTCAATGGAGTAGACCTTGAGCACTGTGAAAGCAAAGAATGTAACTTTGGTCCGTGTAACGTTTTAATAATGTTTCTTACAGCTGCGCCCGGCCACTGCGATCAGAGTGTTGTCCTTGCTGAGGGCCAAGGCATTGGCATGACCCTCCATGCAGATCCGAGCATCGGGGAATCGCATTTTTTAGAACAATTAGTAACAATTTTCAAAACAAAAACTCTTCCGCCCGTCCCGTCCGCTTTGATAAGAGTTTATGTAGGTGTTGCCACACCGTGCGTTTGGTTTTGTGTGGCAGCTCCATCTTTTCGCCCTCGCTGTGTTTACAAATTGGCACGGAAAATTTTACTCTTTAATTGGTAAAACAATTAATTGTTGAACGACAAAAACGGTCGGTTGAGCGACCTGCATTTGCCATGCCGGACATAAAGATAACACCACTCGGTGCCGGCCAGGATGTGGGCCGCAGCTGCCTCCTGCTGTCGATGGGCGGCAAAAATATAATGCTCGACTGCGGCATGCATATGGGCTACAACGATGAGCGGCGATTCCCGGATTTCTCCTACATTGTGCCCGAAGGACCCATAACAAGCCACATCGACTGTGTGATCATATCCCATTTTCACCTGGGTGAGTAGTGCGCCTTGGCCTGGCCTCCTCTGCGCCTTATCTCTGATGAAATTTCATGAGACGGTCTAATCGTTTTGCCCTAAATGTATGTGCACTTATCAATGGCTGGTATTCAGATCACTGTGGCGCTTTGCCCTACATGTCGGAGATTGTGGGCTACAATGGGCCCATTTACATGACACATCCGACCAAGGCGATCGCGCCGATCCTGCTCGAGGATATGCGAAAAGTGGCCGTGGAGCGGAAAGGCGAGTCGAACTTTTTCACCACGCAAATGATTAAGGACTGCATGAAGAAGGTCATCCCGGTGACACTGCATCAGAGCATGATGGTGGACACCGATCTGGAGATCAAGGCCTACTATGCCGGTCACGTGCTGGGCGCTGCCATGTTCTGGATCAAGGTTGGCTCCCAGAGCGTCGTCTACACTGGCGACTACAACATGACGCCGGACCGCCATTTGGGCGCTGCCTGGATCGACAAGTGCCGGCCCGACCTGCTCATCTCCGAGAGCACCTATGCAACAACAATTCGCGACTCGAAGCGTTGTCGCGAGCGCGACTTCCTGAAGAAGGTGCACGAGTGTGTGGCGCGAGGCGGCAAAGTGCTAATACCTGTCTTTGCCCTGGGACGTGCCCAGGAGCTGTGCATATTGCTGGAGACCTACTGGGAGCGCATGAACCTCAAATATCCCATCTACTTCGCACTGGGCCTCACCGAGAAGGCCAACACGTACTACAAGATGTTCATCACATGGACGAACCAGAAGATCCGCAAGACATTCGTACATCGTAATATGTTTGACTTCAAGCACATCAAACCGTTCGACAAGGCTTACATTGATAATCCCGGCGCAATGGTTGTCTTTGCCACACCGGGCATGCTGCACGCCGGCCTCTCGCTGCAAATATTCAAAAAGTGGGCGCCAAACGAGAACAACATGGTCATCATGCCCGGCTACTGTGTCCAGGGCACCGTGGGCAACAAGATACTCGGCGGTGCCAAGAAAGTTGAGTTCGAAAATCGTCAAGTGGTTGAGGTCAAAATGGCAGTGGAGTACATGAGCTTTTCAGCGCATGCCGATGCCAAAGGTTTGTATTAAACATCAGCTCCTGCGATAGCATTCTTTGAGGAACTTGTTTTGTTTTATTGCAGGCATAATGCAGCTGATTCAAAACTGTGAGCCGAAGAACGTAATGCTCGTCCATGGCGAGGCGGAGAAGATGAAGTTCTTGCGCTCAAAGATCAAGGACGAGTTCAATTTGGAAACATACATGCCCGCTAATGGCGAGACCTGTGTGATATCTACGCCCGTTAGAATACCTGTAGACGCATCCGTGTCCCTGCTGAAGGCCGAGGCTCGGTCGTACAATGCCCAGCCTCCGGATCCGAAGCGGCGACGACTCATCCATGGCATACTGGTGATGAAGGATAATCGTATAATGCTTCAAAATTTAACAGATGCCCTCAAAGAGATCGGCATCAATCGGCATGTGATGCGCTTCACGTCCAAGGTGAAAATTGACGATCCCGGACCAACGGCGCTTACCAGCGAACGACTGAAGCTACTGCTGGAGGAGAAACTAGTCGGCTGGACGGTGGCACTGCAAGATAATGGCTCCATCACTATTGAATCCGTTGAGGTGAAGGTGGAGGAGGATGCCAAGGATCCCAAACAGAAAACTCTGTTGATTTCATGGACCAACCAGGACGAGGACATTGGTGCCTACATTCTCAATGTGCTGCAGAACATGTGCTAGAGCCCAACGAAACTCCCCCATATATATGCCTTAATTCCATAGTTTGCTAAGCACAAAGTGTCGGATATCGTTTTTCCGAATATCTAAATGATTGAAAATAAAACAAAAATAGTCCAAAATCCATCAGAAATTGGATAAATCAAGGCCCAATAGTTCTGTTCGTTCGTTCCACGCTATTTATTCTGGGAGTTATTCAGAATGACTTTAACATTAAATTAATCCAAGGCGTTGCTCCTAGCACCTTGAATCATATGCAATTATTTTATATATCGTCGGAGCTGTTCGAACTGGAGTTTCCGTGGGGACAGACGACAGCTTATGTGAGGGCAGCAGCACCAGAGATGATCTCAATCAGCTCACGAGTGATGACAGCCTGTCTGGTGCGGTTGAATGTGAGAGTAAGTTTGTCAATCATCTCACCGGCGTTCTTGGAAGCATTGTCCATGGCCGTCATACGGGAGGACTGCTCCGAGCAGGCACCCTCCTTCATGGTGAAGAAGATGAGGGATGCCAGCGAGAACTCCAAGTAGCTCTTGATGACATCGCTGTCGAGCGAGTCGTAAGTGGCAAGTTTCTCAGACTTCTCGACAGTTGGGCCACTGAAGATGGGCAGTGTGCTGCACTGATACGACACCACAGACTTGAACTTGTTGTACACGATCTTGCCCTCGGTGTACTCGTAGCCAGTGTTGAGGACCTCGTGAGCGATCTTCGAGGCATCCAGGAAGGTGGGGGGCAGACGACCGATCTCGTTGGCCACCATCAGGATGTTCTTGCCATACAGACGGGCCAGGATGGCACGTGACTTGTCGCCCACGCAGAACACCTTGGTGTTGGTATCATCTACGGCCAGCTCTCCGCGGATCAGACGCGCCACACCAGTGTGAACGGCACCGCACAGACCACGGTCCGACGTCACGGCGATGAGCAGCTTCTTGGGCTCGGCCTTCTCATCGGGCACGATCTCGGTCTTTTCGAAAAACTGCTGGGCACCAATGCCGTAAGGACGCGCCGCCTTCAAATCACGCTCGGCACGGGCGTATTTGGCAGCGGACACCATCTTCATCGATTGCGTAATTTTCTGAATGTTCTTCACCGATTTTAGGCGCATGGAAATGGTCTTCAAAGTGGCCATGCCACGCTGCTGCTGGGCCAGCATGGTGGCTTCAATGGCCATGGGCAGCAAAAGCGTAGTGCGTTGCATCATCATCCTGTGTGCTGTTGAAGATTCCCTGCTCAGAAAATTGGCAAAAAGTTACACACACACAGCAAAAATCGGACCGAAAAATTACCTTCGTTAGGTTACGACGATCAGTGTGACCACGGACTTTTCGATACAATGTATACCCGTCGAACACTTTGAAATATACCCAAATATACCTAAATATACTTTAAAATATACCGTAAACATACCGAGGAAGTTTATATTCCTCAATTTTGATATTCATTTAAACAGTAAAAGCTAATCAAGACTCTACGCACTGCACATATAATTTAATGCGATTGGTGAATCAATTCTCTACAATTATTATTAGACTCCCTTTTATTGGACTGTACATAAAAAAGGTTTTAGCCAAGAAAGTGAAAGAACAACCTTTTAATTTACATGGTAACTACATACTTGCTACATTTCATCTACTAATTTAGTAAGTATGGTAATTTTGGCGGTAACATCCTTTTATTTTAAAAAGAGCACACGTCCATGCATACATTTAGAAAAAAAAGTTTAAACATACCTACCGCCGTAACTAATATTCCGTAAATATGCCTAGAATTTAATTACTTTTGACATCACTCAACATTTTGTTCGAATTTATCTACAGATTAAACCAAGGGCTGCCACATGTTTAAATATTTTGTCCCCTCAAAGTTTGATCAAATTCGCTGTGAATTTTGGAAAATTTCTACTCTTTTGTACTCTTGAGCTATATTGTCAGAATAATTTTAAATTATAAAATACTGATTGATTGAACCCGAATCTCTTCGGATCATCACGAAACAAACATCTTATCGATGGCAAAATGTAACCCACGACAATCAGCTGCTCGCTGCTGCGATAGTTCGAAAGAAGAAGAGAAAAAGCTGACGTACTCCGGAAAAGATTCGAAATATTTTACCCAATAATTTAACTTCCTCCTTCAACCCAAAAGCCAAGCTTGACACTTATTAGATTTCAATTCCGACCTGAACGATGGAACTACACAAAACTCAAAGCGGATAACAAGGCCCCCACCCCCTCCAACGAGTACTGTGTGCTGGAAAATTGTTGCTGCGCACAGGAGAGGAGAGGAGACGTACACGACAGACGTAGACAAATAAAACGGGTTGGAAAAAGAGGTCCAAAGCTGCAAGGCGGGCTTGGCTAACGTATGACGGAGATAAAGATAAAGACCCACAATCAGTGCATTCGAGAAAAGATACCAGCTGGCAAAATCAAGCGAAAAGTGGAGCTAATTCGTACAACTAGGTGCCTTCAACAATAATCAACAGCAACAGCTGCGTGAGTGTGTTTGTGTGTGCAATAGTGTGTGTGTGTGTTGTGTGTGCGTGTGTAGGGTTGCGCAGTGTTGTTGGTGCCGTCGTCGTCGTTGTTGCGTCGTGGTGGTCGTGACACAACAGTAACAAAATATTGAGCCGTCGAGCAAAACACATGATGTGGTCGTTCTTCTCGCGCGACTCCACCAAAGACTTCCCCTACGACATTGGTGAACCAGTCAGTGGCTTCGACAACTACTCCATATGGACGCTGCACAAGGCCAAACGCAAAGGCACCCTCGAGGAGGTCTCCGTTTTTGTCTACGACATACGCAGCGGCTCTGACACGAAATGTGAGCTGGCCAAGGCGGCATTGAAGCGGCTGAAAACGTTGCGTCACCCCAGCATACTGCAGTACTTGGACTCACTGGAGACGGACAAGATGCTGTACGTGGCCACGGAGGCGGTGGATCCGCTGGGCACATATTTCACCAAACTGGCCACAGACAATGTCCAAAAGGGCCTCTACCTGGCCTGGGGCATCTTTCAGATTACGGTAAACCTTTGACTGCACTCAATAAATGTTCCAATTGATTCAATAAATCATCTTTCAGCGTGCCCTGTCCTTCCTGAACAACGATGGCAATCTGAGGCATAACAACGTGTCTGCCTGGTCGGTATTTGTCAACGCTTCAGGCGAGTGGAAGCTGGGCAGCCTGGAGTATGTTTCCGCCGCCGATGGCAATCCCATGCCGCCGGTGAAGATCCCAGTCACCCTGGAGGTGTACGACTCGCCCGAGAAGAATGATCAGAGCAAACTCAAGGCGGCCACCAAATGGTAAAGCTCTCATGCAACTCTTTTGTTTTAATTGACTTTAACTTTGTGCTTCTTCTCCGCCAGTTCTGTGGACATGTGGGGACTGGGCTGCCTCGTGTGGGAGGCATTTAATGGGGTTCTTAAGCAGCGCTCGAACCTCAAGGATATCGAACACATACCCAAATCCCTGCAGTCGCTCTACTGCGAGCTGGTGGGTGCCTCACCTTCGAATCGCCCTAATCCAGCGGATATCATAACCCGCTGTCGGAAGCCGGGCGGGTTCTTCAAGAACGATTTGGTGGACACTCTGCTCTTTCTGGAAGAAATTCAAATCAAAGACAAGGCGGAAAAGAATCGGTTCTTTAGTGGCCTCACCACACACTTGGACAACTTTCCCGACAATGTGTGCAAGCACAAGATACTTCCACAGCTGATAAACTCGTACGAGTATGGAGATGCGGGTTCCGCTGTGCTGGCGCCCATGTTCAAGGTAGGCCCATGGTAATGCCCTCTAAAGATCAGTCAGTATTCCTAAATCCTTTTTGCAGCTGGGCAAACTATTGGACGAGGTGGAGTATCAGAAGCGGATTGTGCCCTGTGTCGTGAAGTTGTTTGCCTCCACGGATCGTGTGACTCGCTCTCGCCTGCTGCAGCAGTTGGATCTGTTCATTGCCCATCTGCAGCCACAGGTGGTCAACGATCAAATATTCCCGCAGGTAGCTCATGGCTTTCTGGACACAAACGCCACTATACGCGAGCAGACGGTCAAATCGATAATTCACTTGGCTCCCAAGCTGAATTACAATAATCTCAATGTGGAGGTGCTGCGCCATTTTGCGCGTCTGCAGGCTCGCGATGATCAGGGTGGCATCCGGACCAATACGACCGTGTGTCTGGGCAAGATTGCACCGCATTTGCATCCGCAGGTGCGTCAGCGTGTCCTGGTATCTGCCTTCATTCGTGCCATGCGAGATCCATTCCCGCCGGCACGTGTTGCCGGCGTCCTGGCGCTGGCTGCCACCCAGCAGTACTTTTTGCTCAGCGAGGTGGCCAATCGTGTCTTGCCGTCGCTGTGTTCGCTGAGTGTTGACCCGGAGAAGACAGTGCGCGATCCGGCTTTCAAAACCATACGCGGATTTCTGGGCAAGCTGGAGAAGGTCTCCGAGGATCCCAGTTTGCGTGAGACGATGGGTGAGACTTTGTAGCCAGATTAATGACTTAACGAAAAGCTAACATATTAATTTTGCAGAGGCTGATGTGCACACGGCTACCCCATCGATCGGTAATGCTGCAGCCACATGGGCGGGATGGGCCGTGACGGCCGTTACAGCCAAGTTCTATCGCAGCCAAAGTGATTCATCTAGACCAAGACCGCCTTTAACTGGACGCAATCTATCCAAGCCAGCGTCGCTTGGTGAGTTTACCCCATGCTCCTGCCTTTGTCTGGGAGCTAACTTGGATTTTTCTTTGTTATTTCAGAGCAACCATCGAGCAGCAGCCTTTCGACCACCACAAGTAGTGTTACCTCAATGACCTCGCTGGAGCATGAAAGCAATGAGACCTCCGCATCGGCCTCCGACTATGGCAACAACGATTGGGACAACGAAAACTGGGGAGAAATGGATGTGAGTATAATGCAAAGAAACCATTCGGATCATACATTTCATGGGTTTTCCCCCACAATTACAGACCTCTCAGGATCCCAGCAGTCCGCTGGCAGCCAGCTCCAACAATGGTGGAGCATTGGTAGCACCCAATGCCCTGATTGAGGTGCGCGACGGGTGGGACAATGAGGAATGGGGTAGCCTCGAAGAGGATCCGGTAAGATCACAAATGAATCCATAGCTTATT